TCTGGTTTCTTATCTGAACGAATGGTCTGATATTAACAGAGTGTTCTTCGAGGTTAAACCTCTATCTAAAACTCTACCACAGGAACATTATTTATTAGCTTTCGATGTAACTTCCCGTGGAAGCCAAGAACCAGTTGTCATGGAAAATAGACTTTTCAGTAGAGCCTGGATGTGTGTTGACAGCCATCTTTCTGGAAAACTGATTGCTGGCATAGCTGTTCTGCTGTCTCTCTACTGCTGCTTTCCTGTTCAGCAGCCATTGCAAATACATCAATATTACTTGTGGGAATGCCACACACAAAGAAAATTGCATCTATTGGAATTTTTACAAGAGCACGTAGTGATAGGACAAGGGGTAACAGATTCAAACTGAAAGCGGGGAGATTTAGATTGGATATCAGGAAGAAGTTCTTCACGGAGAGGGTGGTGAGGCACTGGAACAGGTTGCCCAGAGAAGCCGTGGATGCCCCATCCCTGGAAGTGTTCAAGGCCAGGCTGGATGAGGCTTTGAGCAACTTGGTCTAGTGGAAGGTGTCCCTGCCCATGGCAGGGGGGTTGGAACTAGATGGTCTTTAAGGTCCCTTCCAACCCAAACCATTCTGTGGTTCTGTGAATCTTACCTGGTATTTACAGCATATACTGTTATCATAAAGTTCGAGATCCTTTAGGCAGGTTACCTTGTTCACTCTTCTCTAGGCGATGCAAATTTTTCCTTAATAAAACACTTAATGTTAATTTTAGACCTACTCCACAATGAGGCTTTACCTGCACAGACAGACAGCAGGGCTGGGCCAGGGCAGGAACAGCGCAATTTCGGATGGTGTGCCTGCTGACTTGAGGATAAATCCCAAATTGGCTGTTCAGTGTGTGCTGACAGCAGCACAGACTCACTTCTCTTGACCCTATTACTACAAGCAAACCAATCTCAGAAGACCACACAGCGCAGCATCCCAACCAGTGTGGCTACGTGCAAGTCACAGCCCTTGATGTGTTCCTGCAGCTGGGGCAAATTCTGAATTTCCATTAAAAGTTTAGCATGACCCCTGTTAAACGGCTGGCTGTTAACAGCGCTTCTGCAGCTCTGAAGGTAGTTTGGGATCTTTGTTTGGTTACATCACTTATGGCTGGTAACCTTAGGGCAAACAAATCCTGGGGTGAGCTAGGATCCTTTGAACTGGATTTGAGATCTGTCAGACACCAGTTAAGTGCACCCTGTCACAAAATTCCTTGGAAATGCGAGGAAATTTTAAGAAGCATTCAAGTAATGTTGAGAAATAAAAAATGCAGACATCAGAGCGTGAGCTGACCTACGGAAGCCAGGGAGAGGCCTGCAAACTGATTCGCTACTGCCTGAGTTACTGTCCTGGTCCCAGGCAGCAATGAGCTGCTCTCCTAGGGCAGTCTATAAGATCCTGTTTCATTCCATAATGCATCAAGCTGAGTGGTCACTGTACCCCTGTACCGGTGACGCTGGGAGTGGGCCACGGGAAGCTTGCAGAGGCTGGACCAGGGGGAAGGCTGGACCGGGGGGTGGGGGGGTTGTCCCAGAGGTTCTTGCCCCGCAGCTGGGCAAGATTAGCAGTCTTTTGTCAGGGAAATTGATCTGGGAAGGGGCAGTTGAAGGCTTTTTTGCTCAGGGAGGGGGTTTTTCTCCTCAGGGTTTTGGATTTATTTTTGCTTGCTTTCCTGGAACCCGGTTTTGTCCGCCCACAGGTGGTGAGATCCTGGATCATTTGTTCTATTTCTCTGTTCTTTTAATTACTTATTAGCAATAGCATTGTTAGGAACTCCGTAAGTTTCATTTATATCATTAAATAGTTCTTATCTCAACTTTTTCCAAGCCTCCCTTGTTTTTTTCCCTCTGACCCTTCCTCACTGGGAGTGTGTGGGGGGTGGGGTGGAGTGGTAGAGCAACTGGTGGTGCTTAATTGTCCAAAGGGCTAAACCACGACAGTTACTAAGAGAAGATGTAACGCAGACGACTAGTAATGGCAACCTGAGTGCTGGCCCAGAGCCCTGGTCTCGGGTACTGGAAGATCTTCTTAAGGTGATTCCAAGTAAAGATGCTCCCAGGGTTTGCTTATTCCTTGTGCATTAGTAACTAATTAACAGTAGCAGCTTTAGTTCCAACAACAGTGCTTCATGCCCTGCCTGAAATCCCAGCCTTCAGCAGATGTGAAGGTGCCTCATACTAGGTTGAGTGGCAATTACATCAGATGTTAACTACAGCAGCTGAAATGTCGGAGAAACGAACGCATTCCTTTGTTCAGGTCAGTGTTATCATTGCACAGTGAGAGCTGCATAGTCTGTGAAATTCATCCTGTTTCAGTTAAAGGAAATGAGACCCTTGCTTTTGGCTGTGAGTGAGAGTGGACAGGGAATTTGAAACAGGGAATCAGTTTTGGAAAGACGCTGTAAGGCTTTTGTTTGAATTAAGGTATTTATGTTGAAAGGGCTGACATGTTCTCATGCAGCAGTGAAATTATGCGGAACAAGGACCATGTAAAAAAGCTTATATTGTATTAATGAGTCTGTTTGTGCCAAGGTAGATTATTTTTGTAGCAAGCAAATAAGTTTAACTTGAAATTCCTTGTTTCAGGAACAGAGCAATGGAATACCTCTATTGTTCTAAAATGGGCATTTGATAGGGAATGTTTGTCTCACAGAAACGGCCTACTGGGAACGCAAAAATCCACATTTTGTCTTTTTCAACCATGGACGCTTGCTTTTATATGTGGCACAAGGGGACAGAAACTTCAGTGATGATGATTTTTTTTCCTCTGGTGCCTTTTTCACTAAAGCATCATAACTCTTTACAAATATATGGCTCATAATTCCAGCCCTATAACTGAACGCTGTATTTCCTGTCTAATTCAATTAGTGTATTTATCCTTTCTGCATCTTTCTGGCACCTGAGCAGAAATGTGATGACACCGGTGCAGTAGAATCATCTGCCACTGCCAGGCAGGACTGCAACAGGAGAAGTCCCAGCAGAGAGAGGATAACTACTAACTATACTCCTCCCCTCAAGAAATACTGGGTGTAATACCAGCTGTGCACGCTTTAGAAAAAGCTGAGAAAAGGAGAGGAATGTCTTTTTTCTTGACAATTTTTTAACTTTCATCTGAATTCTCTTCTTCTTGCGAAGTTTGCCCTGTAATGAGTGGATATAAATTGACCTCCCTTGCTCAAGAAGACAGGGTCCCCCGTGTCCTTTAATTCCGCACCAAACGTTCTGTGCGGACACGTGCTGGAGATGTGCAGTGCTGTCTCTGAGCACAAAGCCAGCAGTTATCACCTCACCCTCATGAGCACGAAAAGGTGAAGGGAATGTGTGTGTTGGAACATAGCTAGCAAAGGAGGTTTAGAAGGACATGAGGAGTGAGGGACTCAACTAGAGGGAAGCTTCTTTATTCCTAATTTACCAGTCCCATAAGAATGACTTACAGCAATGGTGCTAATATTTAAAACTTGCGAGAAAGTGATAGGTAAGTATTATATTGACAGCATCAACAGATGCTAATCAAAAGGTTAAATGAGCTCTGTGGAAAGAACCAGCACACTTGTGACTCAAAAAACATGAGGTTTAGGGAGCGCTGCCATGGCCAAAGCCACCATGCACAGCTCTGCAGAGTGGGTGTTTTAAGTCAGTGAATGACAGTAGTCTCGATATTCAGGCTACCACTGATTAGTGGCAGGTTTTTATTGTCTGAGAGGCACAACACCACTGCTCTCCAGGCTCTGAGGATCATCACATGTTTAGCACTGAGCTCCTTCTAACATTGTCACCAGCCTATCTCTGTCATCACTGTGTGTAAGCATCAGGGACCAAACATTTTTCCACTCTACATAGAATACTGTGGGGTTTATTTGCACCTTCTCATTTTAACCTCATCCAGATTCCCAGACATTCATGTTTTTGCTTGTTTCCTTTATGAAATCGATAGTTTGGCAGTAACTGGCCACAGACAGCCTTGCCAAGTCCCCAGAACATTGTCTCTTACACCTGGTTATGCTTCAAAGATGTCTTCTTTTTTCCTCAGAAGTGCCTTCCTAAATCAACTAACTGCTCTGGATTCCACACCTAGTCCGTGTGTCATCTCTGCTAGTAGAGCGGAGACCTTTGGACACCTCTCCGAGTGTTTACAGAGTGCTGCACTGCTGTTTACAAAGACCGCAAACTAATTAGATCTGTTATCTAAAATTTAAACAGCAATTGTTCGCTAAATCTGGTTTTGCAGAAGATTCTGTAACATTCTGAGTTTTGCATTACTTGCCAGCTAAAAGTACTACAGCTACGACATGACTGCGTCCTTCCCTGCTAGAAGCCAGGGCCAAATTACAGCCTAATGTGGAGTTCCCAGACTTTGACTCTAACAGAAGACAGGATGTGAGCGAAGACACTATTTTAAATGCTCAGCAGGAGGAGTTAAAACTGTATCACAGTATCCCTTCCACTGCTAGGGAGCTTCCACGGCTTGGCTTATATACACTTTCAATTCTAGCACTGCCTGTCTCCATTCAGGTAAAATTCTCAAGGGAGACTGGTGGGATTTGACAGCAAAGAAATTAACCTAGAATTACAGAGTATAATGCTCATAATCCGTTTTTTGGCGTGGAGTTGAGCCGGGAAGTTAAGGGTAAGCCTTTGACCAGATGTCTACTCTTCTCCCACTAGATCCTTACCGTAAGCCTCCAGCTTAGACAGAGAAAACCATCAAGATGCTGCTGTACCAGAGCCATCCCTGTTTCATCAGTGTAGCGGATAATACACAGCTTACGCGGCTTGGGAGACTCCAAAGGAGGAAAAGGAGTTTATGAGGACAGAGAGGAGAGGATATATTTTGGAAAATAAAAGGAAAACATGTACTGAGAAGGGAATGGACGCTGGTTTTTTGTCAGGACACAGAGCAGAGTGGATGAAGCAAATACAAAAGCAAGAAGAATCTTGCCTTCTGAAAGAATAAGCAAAGATATTTTTTAATATATTTTGCGATTATTTTGTATCTTTATTTAATTTCAAAGGCTTCATTATTGATTCTCTCTTCAGCACCTGGTAAGCTGGCTGAAAAAACACGCATTTTAGTTTTGTACTACAGGAATAAACTCCCATCACATGAAATCTCTTACTCAAAATGGATTTTTTTTTCTCTCATCTTGTTTCCAAAGGTATCTTCGAGATGGCTGTCAATAAATAGCAGTCAGTAACTGGCTAAACAGTCTCTTACCTACTTGTCCTTTCATCACTCGGTGAAAAATCTGCAGAACCTACACACAACAGTGCCAGCAGAAAACACCATTTGTTTCACTGAGACAGATGCATACTGCTAAATATAGATTTTACAGGACTGTTCATTTCTAAGTTCATAGGACTCATTCCCGCTGCTTCGCAGTGGCTCTTTCTCATCCCCCATGTCATTGTCTTTCATCTGTGCAAAATAGGTCGGAGAAGCTTTGCATTCATAGTGCCTGTCAAGAGATTTCAGGTGGATCAACATATGAAGAGCATAGGCAAGAACCAGCAGCAGAATCAGCGACATAACCAGTCCCATAAGAATTGCTGGAGAGAAAAAGGATGCACAGTCTTTTGCATAGGCAAATTGTCCTTCTTGAATGTTAAAACCTTGAATCTACAAAGAGAACAAAAGGGCATATTAAATAAAGTATTTGCTGTCTTGGCTACACACAACTTCATGAATTTGCTCCTGATGCCAGTAAGAATTTTTAATTTAATGTTTTCTGACTGCAAAGTTGCATCTACCAGCGCTAGCTGGAGTTAATTCTCTGAGTTTATCCAGGTCAGTCTTCTAGAAACCGTCAGTTATCCTAATCCCCTTCACCCTGCTGCTCATAGGACTTTCAGTTGTGTTTTAAACAAAATCTTCTATGATCACTCTTGATAGCCCAGTAATATTTAATGGGAAGCACGGTACCTGTCAAGTTAACAGCGCATTTCCAGCATCATTTGTTGAGAATCCCCACAGTCTCTGTTTCAAAGTGCATAAACTTCAACATGACAAAAAAGGAACTATTCTCAATCACCTAGCCTAATACTAGATTTTTCTCATCAGATCCAAGAGTGTGGTATAAGGCAGCAAATCAGCTAAACTACACGAAGTTGCGTTCAACCCTGGCCAACGCCATAAAGTCTTACTTGTGGCTTCAGTGCCAATGTGCTTTACCACACTGGTGTTCAGGGAATTGACTGTCTGCTCCACTAAACCAGTCCATGGGCATTGATCACATGGTGAGAAAAGGAGGATCAGCTTTCCTTCTCAACCCCCTTTTTCAGCTATTAATGCCCTATGACCTAGGTAAGTAAAAGCAAGACGTCCTAGCCCAGTTACCTAGGCTCCTCTGTTGCCAGACGCAGAAAAATAGGCACTTTCAGAAGATGATTAATCTCATCCTAAAATAAGGACTTAAGACGAGCCAGTGGACTTATCCACTGGCTTTAGAGGCAGGCTGGGGTGACTATAATCAGGGCACAAGGTTAAAATTACTAGGCAACAAAAGTTAAGTGAGATGAATCCCGTATTTGGTATTATTGATGAACCCCATGCTGGTTTTGAATCCAGGTTTAAGACCCTGGCTCAGAGAGATGTAACACAGACAGTTAAATTCACTCCCCACACTAAAGGGAAACCCAAGCAAGAGACTACAGAAAATCTGTGCAGCGTTTCCTTTGACAGGAAGATAAGTATAGTAATTTAAGTCTTCATTTATATTTCAAGTTCCACAGAGCTCCTGTAAAATGTACATGGAAGGTCATTACACTTTATTGGCAGCGAAATGCAAAATCTCCCATCAGTCTACCTATTGGATGCAGTCGGCTTAATTCCATTACATTACCTGAAAATCAATAAAAGTGACCTCCCAAAGCTTTGAAAGATCATTTGCAGAGCTGGGTATGAGGAGTGCATCATATCTCTGCAAGCTGCTCACGTGTTCACAGTGGTAGGAGTGGCTTGCCGGTGCATATATCCTGGTTGCATTGAACGTCGCTTGTATGGAGTGGTTGTAAAGCAACTGCAGTCTGTGTAAACTGAACCAGTTCTGAACAGACAGCTGGTAATACCTGGTTGTTAATAAGAATCTGAAAATATTGTAGGGGAAAAAAGATGAGTAAGACACCAAGTCCGTCTAAGAGCTGGAACTATTAAATTCTTTGAAGGCACACTGGTACTACCAGAGTTTAATCCATTTATATCAGGTGAGCTCTAGCTCCTTCGATTGAGTCTGCAAAATTACTTGAGTTTCTTCATTATTGCAGATGAAATCTCCCTCACAGTGAGAGGAAAGGTGAGGGATTTTTCCTGAAGGACTGAGAAAAATCTTTATGCGACACTGGTATTGTAGTTCTACCCAAGATGTAGAAAATTTTTTACTAAGAAATGCTGTTTTCTTCAATCACCGACATGCAAACAGAAAGCAGGTCACAGTCTGATGCCTGAGCAGCCCACAATATCAGTTCTTGCATCAAAATTCCCAGACACAACTGTAGCTAATTAGCAAGGTTAGCAGAAATCTCTGACATTCTATGCAAAAGAGATAATCTTAACCTTTTTTCATTAATAAAAAAGTCAACATAGCAGAAGAAACACCTTAGTAAAACAAGGCAGGCAAATGACAGACCTATTAAATGTAGGTGGTCTTCACTACACAGTCAACAGTTCTATCACACTGTTTTTGCAGACACAAATTCTACTAAAGCAAAATGCACAAGCAACTGCATAACAATGGTACTAACATGTGATTATCTAGTACGTTCGTTATCATATAAACTTACCTAATAACAAGCCCCTTTAGATTTCCAATGTCACCAAACTTCAGAGAAAGCCTAGGTCAAAAAGCAAGTAATGTCAGGCTAAGTAAAAACTTCAGAAATCTTAAGAGAAAGAAGCAGCACAGAAGGTTAAGCAGAGTTATATGTGGAGCATTTTGCTCAGTGTGCCTTCGAAATCACTGGGGGGGGGGGAAAACCTGAAAGGACTACATCTTCCTCCAGTGAAATCCAGTAGTTCAGATGTGAATTTGAGGGAGGTCTAGGCTATCCAGAAAGAACAGAAATGCATGCTCAGCTTTCAATACAACTCAATTCCACAGCTTCCAACATCAATTGACAATTAGGTTCATTTGATGTGTGCTCTCCTTCTCCAGCCATGACACTTTTGTTATGAATCACCTCTCTATGTCATTAGAAAGTGTAAACAGCCACCGTAGCCTCACCTTTTCAGATACTAGAGTGTAACAAACGCGGATGGCATTTGAGTTCAAATTTCACACGTGTGCATCACCACAGCAATATGCGTACACTGATTACGAGGTAGCTCTACAAAGCTGATCTGTGGTGAGCACGGGCACCTGAGGTTTACCAACGTGAAAGGGCCTAGCAGGTTAACTGTAAAGCAGTGCATACTCTACCAGCCTTCTACCATCTCTGGAATTAATGCACTGCAGCAATGCATGATGAAGTGGTATATATTTTTTGGGTTAACATATTTTTATCTCTTAAAACCTGCACAATGGATTCTCACTGTTGACATAACATTTTCAGGCTAAGCTAGAGAAAAAAACATAGCAAAACCGTGTTCTGACTTCTGAACCTAAAGCTAAATAAAATAAAATAAAATAAACCTAGCTAGCCCTAGCATTTCATAAGAGATTTGGGACGACAGTCTCATAAACCAGGACATTGAATTTAGACAATCCCTTGTTTTATTACAAAAGTAAAGTCACAGACCATTGAGGATTAGAAACAGGCAAATTCAGCATTAAATTCAGTGGCGTGATCCAGAAGTTGGTGCATAAAAAAGCCCCCACAGGCTGGATTATTATATTCATATAACACACATGTATCTGTTCAGTGCCAAATATTTTTTCCTGGCTCCAGCCACTTTGCATTCATCAGGCAGTATAAAGCACCACAACAGAGCACTGTCTTACCAAAGAAGGCAGGAAAAGGGAGGCATTTAAGGGATTTTTCTGGGGTGAGAAAAACTGGGCAATGCATTGTGTGAGCACTCTGGCATAATTTACGTTGGTCCTTAAACCTGAGATTACAGAGCAACATTCAAATCAGTTTTTCCCTTTCTTCTTCAATGGCTCAATGTCTGAGTGAAGACCAGCGACAAGTGGCATTCCTCAAGGGTTGGTGT